TAAGGTGGATTGATGGTATGGTTATGGTTAAGATTATGAAAGAAAATGGAAGATGATGGTTGGTGAGGATAGTATCTGAGAAAGACCAAGGAAGAACCATTGCTACAATGAGCAAAGACTCAACCTTACAAACCTCTCTAAGGGATGGTAACAAAGGACTTGGACCTACTATCTATAAAGAGATAAGAACCACAAATATCAAGGTGGATAGAATATAGGTGACGCCACAAGCACAAGAGAACAAGAAGCTTTCATTTTCAGCCATAATATCCGAGTTAAAAAGACCGCACGGTACACTCTTCACCTAGTTTCGTAACCGGCAGATTCGGTTGCTACTTTTAAAATATTACAGTGAAAAGATGTACCTCTTACGTTGCTCAGGCTGCATCCCTTGTCCAGATGTCCTAGCCTTTTCGGCTTCATGTCCTGAAATGTTGATGCCCTTGCTATCATTATAAGCTGGGAAGCTTGAACAATGTGAATAGGCGTCGTTCACTGAATATTGTTTGTTTTCAACTGAAATGGAGCTATCTTCTGATTTCTCTTCTCGATCTATGGAGCTTGGATGTCTAATTAGAACACTTCCATGTCCAAATTCAAAAGAAACCATTGGTGTTTCACTCTCAAGAAGCAAATCCTGTTCAGAAGATCCAGAGAAATATGAGGACTGTTGTTCGTGTAAAATGCTATATAAATCTTTTGCAAGTTTCTCGACTGGAGATGGCTTTGGACGATTTACGAATGTTCTTTTCTTAGAAGGTACCGTTGAGTCCCACACATTAGATTGAGCAGGCCCTGGAGAAAGACAAAGAGAAGACAACTTATATCAGTATTTAAGACCATTCTTGAACTACAAACATTCAAGTAGAATGAAGCCATTGGGCATTGGAATCAGCCAAGATGAAGCTATCAACGAAGATAAAATACGAGGATGAAAAAGGAACAACCAAGATGGACTGAGATATTCCATTGAATTTACAATGAGTTCTCATTCCTTAAAAAATATCAATTTACTCTCATGCAGTAAAACTCAAACTAGCACCGAGGAACACTGCTGACATAGTGTCCAACCTGTCAAGTCATTGGCATCTGCACCGCCAAATTGGGCACAGCTTTCAGAATTAGATATGGCTGATTCAGAACTTGACCTGTTACTTGTATCCTCGTCCACGAACTTACGGAACCCTTGGTTATAATCAGAGGCAACTGCTGTATCATAACTCGACTTTCTTTTCAGAAGTTTCACTTCTTCGTTCTTATTTATAGACATGCTCTTCATTCCAGAATCCCTATGATCCTCAAAATCATCAGGTTCAACCCGAGAGTGAAGTGGGGTATAGTTTGAAAGTGTCCCTTTAGTTCTCCACCGTGAACCACAAGCATTGCACAATACTGGCTTCTCGGGAGGTCCATTGCGCCAAAGAGGAGTGCCTAACACAGTGCATTGTTGTTAGTATATATAAAGATATTATAATTTGATAATGCTTATGACAAGAGCTTTGAAGGGACAAAACATTGAGGTGCGAAAAAAGGGCAAAGATTGTAGTATATTATTGGCCGAGTTTTAAGAGAAAAAACACCATCACATAAATCTTCTTCACAATATGGTCAATAGGATAGGCATCATTAGCCTATCGAGGACGGACAAGAGTAAGAACCAAAAACAAGATGAACTTGCATTCGTCCTCAAAAGCTGACATTTAACAACAACATTTTAAGCACTTAACGTTGGAAGCAATTCCTTGAACAAATTCAGATTTGATGCTCTTCTCCTCAGCAAGGCAATAGCTTCCATTTACACTTGTAGTTGACATAAAGTTACACTCGTATCAATGACCAGAAAAATTAGAATATAGCTGAAACAAGTTGAATTGCAATAGTTGTTGTAAACATACTGAGTTCTAAGGCTAATAAACATTTTGAGTGCTTGAAGAATGATGCAATGAATTCAACCTTGGAAGCCATTTAGAGTGTTTAAATGCTGAGGTTGAACCATTTAAAGGCTTATGAGGGGCAAACGATGAACTTCAAACAAAATTGGAAGTTACAAAACAATGGTTTAAAATGAATGCAGTTCTTGAAAGCTGGTTTTACATTTCCAGTCTGATGGAGGTCGGCATTCATTATCAACAACGATCAAGAAATCATTTACTGCTAGCATCAAACTACTTGCTCTCATTAGCATTCAATTCTAAACAAGAGCTTATACAAAAAAAGAGAAAATATCAATTGCAAGTGCAACTATAAAGAAGTGGAAACGCAAAAACAATGATATATTTAAGAGGACTGAATATATTTAAGAGAAAATACCAATTGCAAGTGCAACTATAAAGAAGTGGAAACTCAAACAATGCTGCAATGAATTCGAATTGAATCGAAGAGGACTGAGGTTTGACTTGATATATTAAACTTACAAATATCTATGGAGCAATGGATAAGCAACACAAATTCAATGTTGAATCTGAAAATACAAGAATTCAACAACATAGGCTCTGTACTTGCACATAATTCACACAAATAAAAAAACTCAAGTTCAAAGCTTTACATGGAATAAGAAAAAGGATCCATCTTGTTCAAAATCCTCATAAAAAACATAATTAACAAAAAGAACAACAAACTTATCATCTTTAACCATCATGTAATATTTTCTCCTTCCTTGCATACAGTTATTTCCTTACAAATTCCAGTGGGAAAATCATTTATTCAAGCACATAAAAGCATACAAAAAGAAGAAGAAGAAAAGAATACTGATATATAGAAAATGGTTGAACATCTACATAAAATTCCAGGACACAAAATTCCTTTTCCTTTGTAAACTTTATATCCAAAAGTTAACTGGAGAATCAAGAACTCACTTGTAACTCCACAATGATAGCAAGGTCCATGCCTGCCCATGTCTCTTTCTTTTGCTCAAGAAAGATAAATTAGAAAGAAAAAAAGGAAATAATTGAAAATAACAAGAGACTAAAAATTGAAACCTTGTATATATATATGATTGGTTTCTTCAAGCTTTATATAAGAGCAAACAAGATTGTTCTGAAACAGCCCAGAAAGCTAGTTTAATTAGCAGAATGAAGAAAAAGCCAACAAATGAAAAGTACCCACAAGAGTTTTTATTTCATTTCTATCTGTCCAATAAACAAAAATCTAAGGAAAAAATGGAAAATTTCAGAGAGATTGGTATATGAAGTTGGAATTTGTACATTGAGATGGAGATCTTAAGGAAAAGAAAAGAGGAAGGAATCTATTAAATGGGCTGTGAAAAGCAGAAAGTGGAAATGGAGAAAGAATGAGATAATAGCTTTGTGTGTTTCTTTGTAATTTGCAGCAAAAATGTTCTTTCTTTTGTATTTATTTATTTTTGTGTGTATATTGACATTTTAATTAATAAAATCCTTAGCGGAAGATTCACTCATTCACGATCAAATATGTGATACGAGTTGATCTAAATTAATTAAAACAAAGTCTTAAAGAATCGAAAAGGTAACAAAAAAAAACTAATAAAAGATTAAAATTTTAAATTATTGAAAGAAGGATAAGGGAATATTGTTACATATATCCTTTTGAGGCCTTTTTCAACTTTGTTGATTTTCATTGAATAATTTTTCTCACAAAATCATAATTTTTGAAATAAATTATTATTAGATATGTTGATTTTTATTCGAGTTTAAGAATAAATTTAAATTTAATTAAATATAGTTTTATCATTAAAAGTCCATAACGTGAATTTAAAATAATATGACTTGAGATTGACATAAACGGAGAATAATTTGAATCCAAAACGATTCTAACAAGTACTCTAAAGTGACTTGAATTCAAATAGATTGTATTTTAAAAAAAATGATAAAAAAATTAATTTATAACTTGTAAGTTATGATTATTATTTTGAGTTAATTGCGTCAAATACTCTTAAACTATACATAATCTCGATTGATTCAAAATTTTAAAACATTCTAATTAAATTCTCTAACTGTTAATATTGTTTTAATCAAATTCTTCTATTAATCTGATAATATGTTTGAGCATTAAATATCAACACACACTGAGGAAGATGTTTAAAATACACACATCAAATTTTAAACACGTGTATATACTACGTGGACACTTTTAAATATAACATATTAAAAAAATAATTTATATCAATAAGATTATTCTTTTAACATATTGGATCTATAAAGTAGGTAGACACTATTTAAAATTTGATTCGCATGCTTAGTTATGCTCCATGTCATATCCTCTATCTGTTATTATTAGACTAACAAAATTGATCCCAGTTTTTAAACGTTTCAGTTTCATCCCAAACTATACCTATATATCATATATAATCACATCCCTTGTTATTAAACCAAATTATGTTATATGTTTGAAAAACATAAATTAAGTTAAATTGTGGTTAAAACCATTTCATATTTCGATAAATTTAAAAATGAAATTAAAATATTCAAAAGTTTGAAGATCAATTTAAAAAGAGGAACATAGTCTAGGGATAAAATTAAAGTGTTCAAAATTTAAGAATTAATTTAAAATGAAAGTCATAATTTGAGAATGAGATTACGGGCCAATTTAAAATGAGTTATAACTTGAGCACATATTATGCAATTAACTCAAATTGTATTCAAAATCTAAAGAGATTTCCAAGTATATTCACAATATGTTTTAAAATAGAAGGGAGAGTACATTGGCATTGCAAAGATCTTCACAAATATTCTGCATTTATACAATGAAAGTCGACAAAAGGTACTGATGGGATACATTTTGTTTTGAAAATGTGCACTAACCGATACCACCTGCAGGCCGAAGACCGGGCACACAACATTCCGGCATCGATGAAGACCTGACACACAACATTCCAGCATCGATAATTCCATCGCCACCACAGGTAGGCAGAAAATGGGGACCTTTGTTAAGTGCAAAGGTGCGACATACAACACAATTAGCAACAAGATATTTTAATGCCATTTAATCTTCCCTTACATTTGCAAACATAAAAAACAACCCTATTGAAGCCAGGAGAAAACTCAAATCGTCAGCAAATAGAGATTTAAAAAGATAACATGAATGCCATGTCTCAAACTCGGACAGGACCGACTACACCGTCTTAACCTAAATAGAATCAAAACTGAACTGATGCAGCTATTTCTCAGTCGTAATAATGAACTGTCTTCTAATTTTAACCAAAAATAGTAAAACAAAACAAAGTATGTATGCTTGCATGTCAGGAAAAGGGCAAATTATCTAAATTTACACTCGAAAAACAGTAAAGGTTTGCAGCTCCTGACTATCGAAAGATCACAATGAATTCCCAAGAGAAAACCATTGCGATTGCAACGGTGGGGTACTCATTTGCCACCCAATGAAGGGAAGTGCCCAGGGTCTTCGATTGAGGGGGCTGACGCATTGCTTATTGTATTGCCTCCATATCCACCTCTAGGACCGCGGCCGCGGCCTCGACCACGCCCAGGTCCATAGTACCTCTCCCCTTCAGCTGGCTTCAAGAACTCATTAATGCTGACAGACTACACCAAAACAACATTCATGCATAGTTATAATAAGAATAGAATGTGAAATGCATGATCAGCACCAATAACGGGGATTATGGCAGACAATGCAAAGATACCACTTCAAATATCCATCGAATATTGCAAAAGTTTTCAAGTTTTCACATAATATGCAATTATATCACAGTAAGAGAATATTAGCTGGCCCATACACATGGTTTTGCAGATTCATTTTCATGTTGCTTAACAACCATTACCCCGTTAAACGAACAGAGAGTGTCCTCAATCAGTTACCATTAATGCCAAATTAGTTCAAACTCATTGCATTGCCAAAGGAATATAGACCACGACAAGGGGACAGTGAATTAAGACCCGAACTCCGACGATGCATTCATACTTCATTAAACAAAATGAATAGCTATTACTTCATAACGCCCAGTCAAGTTACAAAGGTCAGAAAGCATACAAAGAACACTTAATGAAAAATGCAAGACTCGTCTATCCCAAATCAGCTAATGAGCAATAACAGGTAACAAAAACATGCAAACCTTTTTGACTTTTTCTTCTTTATCAGCATCTTTGCGCTTGTCCTTTTCAGAACCCTATAAACCAAAAGCTAAATCAATATACCAGTATAAATTAAATATATGAAACCATACAAAACAAAAAGAAGCTAAGAATTCTTGCCAGTTTAATAAAGATGTCATCATTGCTCTTCTTGTTGGAAAGTTGCTGCATGGACTCAAACACTTTGGTATCAACTTTCCTTTCTTCACTCGTCTTGAGGGCAAGCAGAGCCTTCCTCTTCTCCTCCAGAATCTTCTCATATTCTTCTAAGGTCATCTCCTATAATTTTAGAAAGAATTACAACATTAATATAAAGCAAGTCTCACTAACAAAAGCAAACGAAGATCCAATCTAAGTTGATTCAGCATTACAAATCAAAATCATTGAACATAAAATTTACCCAACATTTCAGAAACAACATAATTTCATCTCAACACATATTACATAGTTTTAATTACAGCTAGACCACCGATGCCATGCACTTTGAAAGGACTAGAAAAATACTAATAGAAGCGATGTTATTTGACACATGGTCCATAAATTAAGTAAATATATTTCAATAGACGACTAAGACAGTTTTAAAAGAAGATATCTCAATACATGCTGCTCTCTAATCACTAAATTTCGGGGAAACAAAGAAATAGTTTTGTTGCCCCTACCCACATCTCCACAAAGCAAACGCATTAACTGTGAAAAAGAAAAACTACCTTATTTTCAGGCTCCTTCTCCTCAGCTTCATTTGCAGTATTCTCCTTGCTAGCATCCACAGCATCCTCGTCTCCAGGCTGCTTCTCAGTGCCAATGTTCTTTTCATTCTCAGGGACATTGTCTCCTCTCTCCCTTATTTTGGGCCAAAATAACATATACATATATATATATATATATATATGCAGATGAGTTCACATAACAAAATAAGTATGTATGTACAGTGCATAATTACAAAAAGTGCTTTGCTGTGAAAGAAAATATGTTTGTTAAGAGATTGGCAAAACAGATACTTACGGGTCAACTTCATCAGTAGGGCTACCCCAATTACCACGTCCAGCGCCATCACGTTTGAACTCATTCCTGGTTATGCTTACAGTCAGATAAACAATGTGATGAATGACAAAAGAAAACAATGTAAATTAAAATAACAAAATAATACTAACCCGCGTCCAGTCCCACTATGGCGATCATACATCCTGCGAGGACGTTCCCGTTCTCCAGATTCTTCATCATTAAAACCACCATGGCGACCGCCACGGAAGGAACCTCGAGGGCCACCATAGCCACCACGCCTTTCAGTTTGCTTCCTTTCTTCTCCCTCTTCAGAGGGTTGGTACCCTCCAGAAAATGCATTGGAGTTATCACCGACATTGGAATCGCGATTGAACCCTCTGCCACCATATCCACGTCCACCACCACCACGGCCTCCTCCACGTCCAGACTCATTCCTTGCCTCTCTCACTGCATAAAAGGCAAACATGAGGGAAAATGATGCAAGATAAACGAGTAGCACACTACACTTCAAGGTGCTTGTCAATAAACCAAAAAATGTAAGCAAAACCTAAGGCAAGGGTAAACAATAGAACCATATCATCCATGATAAATCACATAATGAACTTCAACATAAAGTCTAAACTTCACAGAAGAAATCGATGGAATTTATAGCAAGACAACCTGAATCAATAGAGTTTAACAATGTGTTACTTTTGCCTCATTTTCAATATCAAAACCCATACAACTTCACAATCGACTTAACCGAAAGATTTGCTCTAACGACAGAATAAAAAACTAAAAAATTTAACAATCTTCATAAATAAGTGAACGCGACATAAGATCAGATCTAATGACAGATAAGAATATGCAGAAGTGTCTGTCGTTTTACTTCAATTTTCAATCAAATAAACATCCATACATCAACCCCACAACCAATCACAATCTGAAATAGCACATGAAATCCAAAACCCAAGAATCTTATTCATTTTCTGGACATTACATTCAAAATAGAGCATGGAATCAAACGGATTTGTGACCCAAAAAAAAGTTACCAGCTTGAGCAGGAGGAAGTTGCTTGCTGGGGAGCTTCGCAGACTTAGCCGGCTGAGCTTGAACCGGGGCCGAACCAGGAGCTTTCTTAGGCTTTTCAAGCTTCTGCTGCTCGGCAGCGGCAATAACCAAACTTGGGTCCTCCGTATCATCATCCAAGAGATCGAAAGGGTTCTGGGTTGCCATTGGTTAATTAAAAGAAAATGATTGAAAATATTTTAGCTTTTAAGTTTTAAAAAAACGAAATAGCCACCGAGAGAGTGCTATTGTATGATTAAAGCCATAGAAGTGAATATAAATGAAAAATGAGGAAGATCTAAGGTTGGTGTTTGGGAGATAAGAAAACTGAGAGAAAATCGAGAGGGATCGCAAAACCCTAGCCAATGCGGCAGAGAACTGAGAATGAGGCTAAACCTAATCTTAAAAACCCCAATTGGTTTTGTTACTGTGTGGGCGAGTTCATTTTAAGACTTGAGCATTTTGATTGATAACTGGTAAGAAAGACAGGATGACATAGACTTGACATTTTGGTTGATAATAACAAAGTTTTTTAATCTCGTTTTCGTCTTACAACGCTTAAATATTAATTTAAATTATTTTAATTGAAGATTATATAGATTTATGGGAAACTTTTTTAAAAATATGATAATATTTATTATTATTTAAAAAATGATATTTCTTAATTAAATTAGTATCCAATTAATTAATTAATAATATTGACCTAATAAAAAATATATGTTAAAAAAGTAAGTATTTAATTTAATTTAAAAAAATATTTATTGTTTTATTTAAAATTAAATATCGAATATAGTTAGATAGTAAAGGGTAAATTACAATTTTGGTAATTGAATTTTACTCTTTCTCTTTTTTCACTCATTGTACTTTAAATCTTTTCAATTTCCTCATTGAACTTAATACAATGGGTTTTTTTTTGTGTCAATCTATCATTTTCTCATTAACTGCGTTATAAATAGATTATTATATACATGCAAAACAACGTCATTTTGATGAAAATTTTATTTCTTTAAAACGGTGTCGTTTTAATGTCGTTAACTATTTAACGGTAGAATGACAAAAAAACTCAATGTATTAAGTTCGGTGATGAAATTGAAAACTTTTAAAGCTCAGTGAGCAAAATAAGAGAAAGAGTAAAGTTCAGTGATGAAATTTGTAATTTACCCTAATTTAAAGCAATATTTTTTTAAAAATAAAAATAAAATAAAAAGTGTGAATATGTCCTAGGTATAAGCAAAGCTTTATCTACTTATTAATTTTAACATTTTTCATAGAAAACAAATATTATATGATTTTTATTTGAGGTATCAAATGTAGTTGAAAAATTAAATCACTGAAAAATTTGATTGAGTTTTTTTTTTCAGTTTATCAAATAATATTTTATTTAATGCAACTTTATACTAATAATGAAGTATAGGATTAAGTTGATTTTTAATTGTATGATTAAGGGTCCGTTTGTTTCATTGAAAACGTTTTCCGAAAAATATTTTTTGTAAAATGAATTACATCTTCTGAAAAATATTTTCTGAAAAACGTTTTACGATGTTTGAAAGATATTGTTTAAACTATTTTTCTGCTAGTTGATGAATTTTTTAAAAATTATTTATTACAAATATTAAATACAAATAATATTATTTATCATAAAACCTAATATTTTTATTTTTAAAATATTAAAATAATTTATTTATAATTAAAATATTATTTTTATAATTTTATTAATAAAAATATTAATATTGGTATATTTTAATGAAATAAAAATATTATAAATTATATTAATTATTTATAAAAGTAATAGTGTTATATTATATTTTAAAAATATTAATTAGTATATTTTTAATATCTTTATTAAAATATTATTATATTAATATTAAATATATAAATAATATTATTCATTATTAATAATTTAATAATATTATTTCTATGAAATTAATAAATAATATAAATTTTATTAATAATTTATTATATATTATTAAAATAAAAATATAATATCTTATATTATTATAATATAATTGATTATTTTATTATAATATTAAAAATATAATATTATATTATTAGAAATATTAATAAATATATTTTAAATATTTTAATAATTAATATTTTGATTAAAATTATATTAAAATATTTTATTAATATTAAATTCATAAAATAAAATTATTTTGAGTATTTATTCTTTGAAGTGAAAAGTTCGGAAAATGACTTACGGAAAATCAGACCGTATGTCATTTTCCAGAAAACACAAAGGAAATTATGTTGACCAGAAAAATGTTTTACGTTGACCAACCAGTTTTCTTCTAACCAAACACTGGAAAATGAGGAAATCATTTTCCGGAAAACGTTTTACTTGAAACAAACGGACCCTTAAAAATTTATATTAAAACGCGTAAAATCATAAAATAATTTATAAGCAAAATATAAGTTCATACTCAGTATAAAAATCAAATGTGACATACATGCCCCTAATTACATTTGTACCGTACTTTTCAACCCAAACCAATGGAATTCCCATTACAGATGTCGATAATTACACTTGATCAGTTCTTTTAACATGAAAATGAAAGTAAATGAGTGAGCTTTGGGAAGCTCAGTAATAAGAACTACCAAGTGATGCTGAAGGCCATGCAAATAAATAGAAAAGCATAATTTTCCCTTATTGAATCAGACGTCTATAGGCTTGCGAAATGAGCTGAGGTTCCACTGATATTTCTTCGAGTAAAATATGTGAAGATTTTAGTTCAGCGGAAACATCCAGATGACCAAGTTTAGGAGATCAGAATATGATGTCTAGTATGTTCCAACAAAACAGAGTAACATATATGAATCCTTTAAAAACGTTTTTAGTTTAAAACATATTTTAAAAACACAGTAATACCCTCCAACCGAACACCGTTTGCAGTTCCTCATAACTGCATCCATAAGGACTTACCCTAAGCACACAGCGAAGGAGCCATCCAAAGGGAGTACCTCGGGGCCTATGGGCCTACCCAAGGGTCTCCTTAGGTCTGTAAGGATTTACCAGCTTGATCAGAGTTGAACCTCCATACTCTAGAATCCTACCCATACAATATCCATAAGAAATCAGATTTATCATTAAATTGTAATATCAGGATCGTGAATCCAGTAAAATCTTGTAAGAGTGACAATGAAATAAATCATATAACTGATATCCACCCGTACACCATATGCAGTCCCATGATTTACCCAAGGGAGTGCCTTGGGGCCTGAGAGCCTACCCAAGAAAGTTTCTCGGGGCCTCGAAGCCTACCCAAGGGTTACCTTAGGTCTGTAAGGATTTACCAGCTTGATCAGAACTGAACCTCCATACTCCATCCTACCCAGATAATGTCCTAATAAAACAGTTCAATTAGTATTCAGTAGATCACATGATCCATAAATTGGGAATGATTATATTTTCCAGTGAAAATAGGAAACCAAATAGCACATTTCAGGTAACCATAGTTCATAAACCAATAGATTTCATGATCCAAAAATCAGGAACAATTATATTTTTCTGTGAAAACAGGTAATCGGAGAACATATACCATGTATCCATAGTTCATAAGCCAGTAAATCATTAAATTAGTGATTTCGAAAAATCACGTTTTAAAACAAGTAAAACATTTACATGTCACATAAAGAACACACTAGAGGATCCAGATATTCTTAAGAGTTACTTGGTGATCAGGAAGGTATTCATAATCTTTTTGCATCAGAGTTACTTAAGATTTCAAGTATGACATGAGTGATTCAATTATTCAAACAAACAAGGGTATTTCAGACATTTTTATTTTTTGAGAGTTCTCAGTAATTTAACTCAATAAGGATAGAATAATGATTTGTGGTATTCAAGATTATATATTGAATTATCAAGATTTTGAGTCCAATTGAACTGCAAATCCCAATACTGTGATACTTGTCAATAATTCGGACTGTGATATGTTACTATTATTCACTTCTTTTTACTGACTGCACTAGTTAATCTGATCAATATCAGAATCATCCTTGATCTTTTCATGAGGAGGCAAATAAGTATTATGTTGGTATTTATTTCATTTCCATGTTGTAATAGTATTCAGAATGTCCGACGACTTGGGTTGTGCTCATTAACCTTTAAAGGCAATATATTATTTAGGTTCATCGGTGTTCCCATAGTCTATCGGTAACACCCCCTACCCGTATCCGACCCGGATATGAATCCGAGATGTCACATTAACTTTTCAAACGTTTTGACTCTTTTAAAAGTGACTAAAACTTGACAATAAAAGCAAAACTTAATAAAACATATTTACAAAACATATCAGAGCATCTACGCTTTAAACATTTATGGTACATGCCAGCAAAATTTCCAATAACAAAATCACATATTATTCAAATTTCTCTTACTTCGAACGAAACTCACTTGCTTTATTTTCTGTACTACATTAAAATCATTTTCAAATATCCTCTGCAACATTGCAATTACTTCTCCGACTTACTTTTTCAAACTATCAATTTCCAACTGATCTTATTATTACATACATTGCATTTCTTTGTTTCCTACTAATCTAAATAACTATTGCCTCATTTACTAATAACTTGCTTAGTGGGGAGGGGTCTTTGACAGTTTCTCTATGAAATCTTCCTTTTCTCAACTCTTTTTTTCAATCATCATAATCTTATAATCCTTTCGAGCCTTTCTAAATCGTTAACTTCGAACAACCATCTATTATGGCTTAACAACGAAAATATCTAATCTACAACCAAAATTATTATAACTCCTTAATAGCGACTTATATGTTATTTATCCTTGCCTTTGGGGCCCTAAAATATTTTAATCACCACTCTATATTGATATCCTTGTGTTGAAGAATCGGGAAAAGTAAACGAAAGAACACAAGAATTTTAACAAGGTTCGGCCATGTGCTTACGTCCTCGGTGCCTAGGCGGCACTAGAAATTTTATTCAATGTCTCATAGGTTTAGGTTACATCTCTATTTATAATAGAAAACCCTGGTACATAATTAAAAAATTAACCATATCCTCTTTACTGGTATATTTATGAGCCATACCTATCACATTGTTTTTCCAATTAAGTGAACTTTAGTCTCATTTCAATTTACTCTTTACCGGTTGGCAGAACATTCTTTTTTCAACATAAAGAAAATTTCGTACGACACTAACCTTTTTAAGTGATCAAAAGATTATCAATCCTCATAATAGGATATTTGTTCTTCTTTGTTACCTTACTTAATGGACGATAATCTATCCATAATTTCATAGACTAATCTTTCTTTTCACAATAACACTAGTGTTTCCCAGATGACACACTTAATCTTGTAAATCTCTGGTCTTAACAATTCTACTAATTATGTTTTTAATTCTAAGAGCTCAGTCGGAGTCATTCGATATGGCTATAAAATAAACATAATACTGATAGCATCTCTAATTTTTCTTTCTACATC